TTGCTCAGAAAGTTAGGGGCAGAGACATGGAGTGGAAAACCCGGTCCTGAGCAGCTGTTATTTGAGCTTCCAAGGCCTGTTGGGCACTCCCACAGTAATCACGTCTCACTTAAGTCTCTGGTCAGTGAAGCAAAACCAACAAGCCCTTCCCTGCTTAAGTAGAAAGGGACAATATTTATCTGAATAAAGTCTTATTCGAAGTGAGTGCAGTAGACATGCTCTGTCCAAGTCCCAAGATTCCATCTCCCAAGGCAATGCTAAGTAAGAAAGCGAGAGCCCAGAATGGCTTCTGAACAGCCTGGAACTCAACACTGTCGCAACACAGTGTTTGGGGATGAGGCAGAGCTGTTGTGGCAGAGAATGGGGGTGGGAGAGTGAGAGCCCTGAGCTGGTTGGGCCTCATTACTTTCTAGTGGGGCCTGTCCTCAGACTTCAGTCAGGAAGCTAAGGTAGGAGTGGGCTGGCATTAGATCATTTAGTACAGAAACAAGTACATCGACTATGGGGGAAGGTAGAAAGCCAGGGAGAACCTCTAGGTCACAAGTCAGCAAACTTTCTCTGTAAAGGGCCAGATCGTAAAAAATTTAGATATATTGTAAAAAATTACATATATATATGTGTATATATATTATATTCTCCTATAACATAAAAATAATAATTATGGGCATTTCATTAGAAACACACACACACACACATACTTCTCTATTGGAATTATTCAACTCTGCCAGCAAAGGCAGGGGAGAGGGTGTGGATGTTTTGTGGGATGGGGGAGGGCACAATGAGCACGGATTTGTTTCAATGAGATTTTTTTTTTGCAAAAACTATAAGCCCCCCTTTAGTTGATACATATCACTAAATAGTAGAGTTAACTCTGGCTGATTCTCATTTAACAGGTGCTTAATGAAAAGACAATATTTCCTAAGATGTAACAGGCTTTCGAAGGAAGAGAAAAGCCCTCACCTACTTTCTACAAATTTATAATTCACTACTTTGGAAGCTGCAGATGTTAATTATGTGAGCTTTTTACCCAGCATAGATACTATAATTAATACATTTATTTTCCTTTAATAAATGCATGCCATACAGGACATTAATGTTTATAACCTGGTCCCATGAACCCACTTTTACTAAATCCAATACCTGTTTTCTCAGGATAAGAAAAAACAATTTAAAAGGAAATGACAAATCAGAGGAAAACTTATACAAAGTATATAGCAGGCAATGGGTTAACTGTAAGGAAAGGCATACTAAAAAGATATACAAGCCCTGGCTGGTGTAGCTCAGTGGATTAAGCATGGGCCTGTGAACCAAAGGATCACGGTTTGATTCCCAGTCAGGGCACATGTCTGGGTTGCAGGCCAGTTCCCAGCAGGGGACACATGAGAGGCAACCATACATTGATATTTCTCTCCCTCACTCCTTCTCCCCAAATAGATGCTCTGCCTTTATTACTCAAATCATAAGCTGGTTCCTGACTATATTGTCTCTGGGAAAGAGATTGCAAGCTAGCCACTGACATATTTAGTTAGCCCTTAGGCATATTTTATTTGGTTTGTTTGGTATTTGAAACACTTTCAGCCAGCATTTAATAACTACGACACTTTATGTAAAAGTCTAAATTTTTATCTTCTCTGGCAATGTTAGGCTAGTGAAAAATCGACAGGGAATAGTCTATCCGATTTGCTGCTGTCCCCACTGCCCCTATTTGATTACACTCAGCCTTTTCTATTATTTTACCACCTACCTGGCCCTGGTGGGCATCTGAGTTCCCCACCTCTCCTCTCAGGCCTTTCACTATTTCTTCTTTATGCTGAACAGTTGAAGGAGTCACTTACACAAAGACTTCAAGCTAATGAAACTCAGGCAAATACTGGGGTCTCTCCAATAGAAACTCAACTATAAGCCAAGTAGACCAATTTACAGGAATAAAGGATTTTTTTGTTTCCTGGGAAATGGATGTTTCAGTCAGGACTGCCAGTGTTGAAATTTCTCTGGGCCAAGAAAACTTTACTGCTGATTCAGAGCAGTTCAGTGTAACTGGACCTCAAGCCCAGGCCTGTGCTGCATTTGTTCCCATCTTTCTGTGCACAGGGATGACTAACAGAGACAGTGCATATTTTCACAAACAGCTTTCAGGGAAGTGGTGAGGGATAGGAAGGGTAATGGGGCCAATTTCACTCCTTTGAGTTTTATTTTGTGCCTATGAGATGCCATATTTTATGTTTAAGCCAGACATAGACCCTGTTATTTGAAGATATTCTCGGGCTGTTTTCATAATTGGTGCCTCTGGAATTTGGAAAATATATTCAACAAAAATCTAAAGCGAGTAAGTCTGAATATTCTGAGTAGATGATACAGTTATTTAGAAATCTCTGTGATTTGCCTATCATCATTTTATCACACTCATGAACTCATGTGTCACAACATGTGACTTTTAGATTACAACAGGAGAGGTAACTTTCCCAAGAAAGCTAAAAATACCCATTTTACAACATGAGCCAGAACTGTCAGCCCCAACAAACAGCTTTCCCACAGTCTAAGCTTTTCACCCAACCAGCCTGAATGATCTCAACAACCTTACTTCTCCTGACCTCCAGATCACATGTTTTCTTCTACAAATTCTAGCTCCAAGTCTGTCAACCTCATGCGGAGACTTATATTCCCTTAGCATTACCCTTGACCCACAGCCCCCACCTTAATAAGTACTGCAAAAACAATAGTTGTTGATTGCATCACAGCTGAATATCTTCCCCTTGGTGTTAAATTTTGACCACATTTTTAAACAGATGACTTCACATGTCCTGTGAGCTGTTCTCTGGGAATCTTTGGCCACACAGACATACCAAAGCTACATAATTCTTCTGTACCTGTACAGCAGACACCATCTTTGTTCTCCAAGAAAGATATGGAACAATGCAACATTGTGAGAACAACTAGCTGAAATGTCACTGAACAGAAAAATTTTGTACAGGCCCAAACTATTCAGTTACCTTTCATGCTAATAGAACAGTGGCTATTTCTTAATGCAAGCTGGGAGAAAAAAATAGGTGAAGAAAAGTCATGACTACTCAATAGTTTCATTCACTTCACACCTGTTTGTGGTGACAAATCTTTTCGTCATGTTTATAAAAGGAAAATCCCAGTGATGGAATAAAAGTAATGAGACAATTGTTCTGTTTATAGGCTAAAAGATGGAAGAACAAAGTAAATTGAAAACAGACTAGCAGTCAAAATGATGCCATAGGTTAACACTGTACCCACATCCTCCTATGGACAACAACATCAAAATCACAACTGAACTACAGAACCATCATTGACAACCACCTGAAGTCTTACTGAGAAGAAGCCCTATAAGGATATAAAGAAAAAGCCACATTGATACTGGTAGGAGGGACAGAGATGCAAATGGGCCGGTCAGACCCCCATGTGTGGTGCGTATTATACAGAGCAGGTTTAGCATCTGTATCTGCCAGATCATTCTTTAGACACTGGACATATATTGGTGAATACGAGAAATACAGTCTCTGTACATGTGAAACTTAAAGATGTAGATGAAAGAGAACTTGACATTATTTTTGTATTAACGTCAACATCACCTGGAGCCCTAATATGTTGAATAGTTCCACTTACAGGGAGATGGTAATCAGAACCTTTAATGGACTGACAACATCTGCCCTCCCAATAAACCTTGGTGTGCAGAGTTGGTCACTGAGGCATAGGTAGATAAATCTGTCTAGGAGCCAAGGAGCTTTCTGAACAGAAAGGGACTAAAATCAACTCTCTCTGATAAACTGAGGAGTTCATAAAAGTAATGGCTCAAGAGAAGGAAGTTAGGACTGGTGTTCCAGGCTCACCATAAAGGCTGAGAGCAGAAAAGGCTGGCTGGACACAGCTGAGGCTGAGGCAGGCAGGCCCTCCTCTCTTATCAGCCCCGGCGGGTCCTGCTTTGGGTACAATGCCAGAGCATGTGAGGGGAGCCAGGAGAGCTGTCATCTTGCATCACTCTGATCTGCATGGGTACTGGATCAGCAAGTGTACCTTTGGGTGATGGATGGAGACACCATCCAGGGATGTTGCATGGCAGGGAACAGGGATGTTGCATGGCAGGGAACAGGGATGTTGCATGGCAGGAATAGAAACGGCAGCAACTTAAAACCAGGTCCTCTGGTGACCTGACCTAGCTCACCAGTAACCTTATTGGAAGTAGCACTAGCCCTGTGGGCTAAGTAAATCTCCTGGAAGTTTGTGGGAGGTGAGGAAGTACCTACTGTAAGAGGGAGACATTGGACTTCTTACTAAGAGGGACAGGTGGGTGCTTGAGGAATTAATCGGAAAATTGAAAGATATGCAATTGCATTTATACCTCACTATTAAAATAGAACCTATATGTGCAATTGTGTACTGAGTATATTGAAAGAAGTAGGTGGTATCATAGCATCTGACAAGGAGATTTAATGTAATTGGTGGGGTGAGGAGGTAGATTCAGGGGAGGCTTGATGAAACATAAGCTTAACTGAGATTTAATGTTTGACCCCAACTCTGGTACACGATAAAAAGAAAGTATTTTAAGAAAAGCAAATAGTATGTGAGAAAAACTCATATTTGAAAAGGGGGGATGTCTTTTAAGACTAGAAAATCCTGTATGTCTAAAGCTTGGATAACAACGGTGATGGTGACACAGTACAAAGCTGGAGACATGAGTCATACCAGTGAATAATAGGAAACCGTGGAAGATATATAAGCAAAGGAGAGATGATAGATTTGAGAATTTAAAAGACTATGCTAGCTAAAATTAAAAATCAACCACACTGGAAGCAGCAGGAGCAGATGCAGGGAGCTGAGTTAGGAGGCTTCTGCTCTCCTGCAGGTCAACTCAGCTGTAAAATGTTCATTTGCATGTTGCTTCCCATTTTACAGATAGAAAAATCATCTTGAAGAAGTTAAGTGATTTATGCAAGACCATACAACCAATAAACAGCAGCATCACGTCCAGACCTAACCTTCTGAGCCTGGATTAAAGCTCTGTCCGCAGTACCAGCTGTTCTCAAACTTTTTCTGTCACCCGTGAGTTCATGCACATGACCACTGCGTTTCCACACTGGTTTCCATGTATCTCCTATGTAAGAAGACAGATCCCAATGCATAAGAGTTAGAGAGGGGGTTTAGTATATAGACAACCATTGTTTTAATATTGTTCATTAAAAACAAAAAAAGGAATCATTTGCAAATGTATTCATTTAACCCTTATTAGTGACAAATGTCTCCATGCTGCAGTTGGTACCTGAGCCTTGCACCCAGGATTGGAATGAGGGGGAGAGGAGGATTTTTTTTTCCTGCTCTACTTTTGAGTATAATTCCATTTCAGTCTCCCAAAGGGAGTATGACAGAAGGCTCTGCTGCTCATTTCTATGGTGTCTAGAGGGTTCTCAGCCCCAGGCCTGGAAACCTAGTATAAAGCTATTTCTCAGAGGTATGTGTGAGGGAAGTGAAAAAAGGAATGGCAGAAGATAAGAGTCTGTTGAGCTGCATCTGCTATGACTCTCTGGTCACAGATTTGCAGAAGTGATTCTGTTTAGTCAAAGTTCTGTCAAAGGGCCTTGTGAATCCTCCTTTATAGTGAAGCGCCCTTGACCTACATGTCTGTCATTTTTCTCTCTTTCTCTTTTCTTTCTTATTTCTCCTTTCTTCTCTGTTTTTTTTTTTTCTTTACCTTCTCTTCCCCTTGTTTTGACAATAGCTCCTTGGGTTCAACAGTAGGGGGATTTAGTTCTTAGGTTCAGCAGAAAGCTAATGCATACATATGGCAATGGGCAAAAGTAGAGTATGACAATATTTCATGGCAGATGGGAATATAGAAGTTAGACTATAAAAGCAGGAAGACAACCCCTTAAATTCCCCCCAATCCTCAAATAGTGACCAGTAGAAGTTCCTACTGAGTTACTCCCAGATGTCATTTTTTTTTTTTAAAGACAAAGTCAACTTCCAGTCAAGTTGGTGGCATTAGCAGACATGGCTCACCTCTTTACACAACCACATCAAAATTACAACTTACTATAGAACAGCCATCACTCAGAAACATCAGAAACCAAGTTGAATGGAAGTCTGACAGCTACAGAATTAAAGAAACCATATCTATTCAGACAGGTAGGAGGGGCACAGACTCAGAATGGGCTGGTCTCACACCCATGCATGGTGAATAAATATTCAGGAGGGATATCTTGGGAGTGAGGAGTCCCAGTCTCACCCCAGACCCCCAGCCCAGGGTGCCAATGCCAGGAAAATAAGTTCCCACAATGTCTGGCTGCAAAAACCTGTGGGGATTGTGTTGGTAGAAGAAACTTTTGGAGTCTCAAGCAGTTCCTCTTAAACAACCCACACAGAGACTCACCTACTCAGACTCACTCCCTCTGAGCTCCAGAACCAATTACCAGCTTAAAAAACACCAGTGGTATACAGGGAGAAACTGAAGCATCTGGCATCGAGGTGAGTAGAGGCCATTCTTCCTTTTCTAAACCCTCCTCCACCCACAGATCTTGCAAGCTGGTGCCACATCTGAGACTCCATAAATCTGGCTAACACTGTTCAACCTGCCCTGGAGATGCCCAGAGATTCCACCCCAACCAAGTTGCTTTTCCATACAAATGGCTGGTCTTGGCTCATGATTAACAACTTTATAAATCCCCACAAACAAACAACAGCTGATCTCAGTGAGCCCCAGGCCCAGCACTAGCAACAGCCAGCCTGGTTTCATAGTTTGGCTTAGCCTGGTAATCTCCAAACCCAGCACAAGTAGCAGCCATTTTAGACTGCTTTGTAGCTCAGGAAGGGAAGCACTGGGCAAAACACTGGTGGGGACTGACCTTGGCCTGCACCACCTGGGAAACCCAAGGGCTTGTGTACCTAGTGGACAGCTACAGACCACATCAGAGCACTACTACCCTTCCCCTGCACAGCTGATCCTCCATGAAGGACAAAGGTTGGTGGTCAGTGGTCACAGCCAATCTTTGCAGCTGGTTGGCCTGAGTAAATCCCTCCCACTGATCCACCAACAGTAATCAAGGCACAACTACAAGAGGAGAGTATACTCAGCCCACACAAAGGTCATACCTTTAATACTCAGTTTGGGTGATAGGGGACACTGTGCCAGTGGACCCTACAGGACACCTACTACATTAGGCCACACTACCAAGATACAGAGTCAAAGCAGCTCTACCAAATACATAGAAACAAACACAGGGAGGCTGCCAAAATGAGGTGACAAAGAAACATGGCCCAAATGAAAGAACAATTCAAAACTCCAGAAAAAGAGCTAAATGAAATAGAAATAAGCAATCTATCAGATGCAGAGTTCAAAACACTGGTTATAAGGATGCTCAAGGAACTTAGTGAGGACCTCAGCAGTGTAAAATAGATCTAATCAGAAGTGAAGGATACACTAATTGAAATAAAGAACTATTTACAGGGAAACAACAGTAGCATGGATGAAGCCAAGAATCAAATCAATGATATGGAATATAAGGAACAAAAAAATCAACCAAACAGGACAAGAAGAAGAAAAAAGAATCCAAAGAAAATGAGGATAGCATAAGCAGCCTCTGGGACAACTTCAAGTATTTCAACATTCGCATCATAGGGGTGCCAGAGGGAAAAGAGAAAAAGCAAGAAACTGGAAATCTATTTAAAAAATAATGAAAGAAAACTTCCCTAAGTGGATGAAAGAAATAGATGTGCAAGTACAGGAGGCACAGAGAGTCCCACACAAGACGGATGCAAAGGGGCCCACTCCAAGGCACATTATAATTAAAATGCCAAAGGTTAAAGATAAAGAGAGAATCTTAAAAGCAGCAAGAAAAAAGCAGTTAGTTACCTACAGGGGAGTTCCCATAAGACTGTCAGCTGATTTCTCAAAAGAAACTTTTCAGGCTAGAGGGGATTGGCAAGAAATATTCAAAGTCATGAAAGCAGGGACTTATAGCCAAGATTGTTCTACCCAGCAAAGTTATCATTTAGAATCAAAGGGTAGAAGAAGAGCTTCCCAGACAAGCAAAAATAAAGGAGTTCATCATAACCAAACCATTATTATATGAAATGTTAAAGGGACTTATTTAAGAAACAGATGAAGATCATAACTATTGACAATAAAATGGCAATAAATACATACCCGTCGACAACTGAATCTAAAACCCAAACCAAGCAAACAAGAACAAAAACAAAATTATGAATACAGAGAGCATTTTGATGGTTGCCAAACAGGAGGGGGCCTGTAGGGGAATGGGTGAGGAAGTGAGGGGAATAAGAAGTACAAATAGGTAGTTATAGAGTAGCCATGGGGATGTAAAGTACAGTATAGGAAATGGAGTAGCCAAAGAACTTATACTCATGACCCACGGACATGAACAATGGTGGGGAAATTGCCTAAGGGAGTGGGGTGTGCTGGGTTGAGAGTATGCAAAGGAGGTAAAGTCAAGAGAACCGCAAGAGCATAATCAATAAAATATAATTAAAAATAAAAACAAAAAATAAAGACAAAGCCGTGTCAATCTTGGGAGGAGTTCATTGGGTGCTAAAAAAGTGACAGTTTATGAAAGCACCAGATAGGACTGCTAATATTTGGGCCAGGACTCAAACGAAGCAGGCAAGCTCTGTCCCTGTTGGTGCAATAGGAGTGGGAAGCTGCTGAAAGACCTCAGGGCATCACCAAACAGGTGCTTTCCCACCCCCAAATGGCCCCACACACTTTTCTCCTTTTCTTACCCAACTAGGAGAATAAGATTCCTGAGGATAGGGAGAGGGCATAGCCCAGCTCATGCCCAGAATGAAGAAAGAAAAGAACGAAAGGAATCATCATGAAGGATCCTGGCATCCTCCCACCAGTGAACTCTGACCTCGTAGCTGTCCAATGTTGCCAAAATAACACCAGTCTTGTGAGGCTGATGGCATGTCTCAGTTCAAAGAACAAAGCAAAAAAATTCCTGCCACAGGAACAAAACATTCCTTTTAAAAATATCCCATGTTTTTAGATCACTAAAGGGTTTTAGATCACTGAAGATTAGAGCCATTTTTTGAAGGAAAAAAATATCATCAAAACAAACCCAAAGCAATTCATAAGCACTGAGTGCATTTAGTGTGGAGTTGGGATGTAGTAGGCCTTTGGTACAAAGTGGAGCCTCACAGTGCAGACACCCAGTCCACATGGTTACCATGAATAAAAGTCACTTACTTACCTTTTCTTGAATAAAGCCTTCGGCAGAGTTGTTTTCTTAGGATTATCACTGTAGCTATGACCATTAAAACAATAATAAAGGAAGGGATGAAAATATGAAGCAACAAAGGTGAAGGGACGCTGGGTGCCATCTGACCTGGGTGAAAGAAAAACACCAGAATCAAATACATGGTAGCTCAGAGGTAAACCAACAAGTTGGCCTTCTGAGTGAGTTATAAACAACAGGGCCAACTTACATCGAGCATTTATTTCATGCTAGGCATTGTCCTAGGACACTGTATGTATTAGCTCATTTACTCCTCACAACCACCCGTGAGGAAGGCCTGCTATGATCCCCATTTACTGGTAAAGTGAGGCCTAGAAAACTTCCCCAAAGCTATCAGTAAGTGACCGAGTTGATATGCAAGTCAACCTGTCTATTTCCAGATTCCATGCTTCGCATCATTCTGACACATCTATCATATTCTTTGTCTGTCTGTCTATCTATCTACCTATCTACCTACCTACCTACCTACCTATCACCTCTCTCTTTCTAGTTGAAGTGTTTGTCAGCCCAAAACTGTCAGCCCTCTGTCAAGCACTTACAGTGCTTAGAATCTATATCATTGTTTATTCAATTTCAATAATTCACAGGATCCTTTAAAAATATATAAAATTTTATACATAGTGTAAATATACAAAACCCAGTCATTGTGAATTACAGTAACTAGTCCTTTTCCTTATTCCAGCTAATCAAGGTCCTGGCACTGAAGAAAAGATTTAGTAGAGAGGTGGATGAGAAGAGAAATATTGGAGCCTGGGGAAAAGCTTGTAAAGGAGGGTGCCAGACTGACAAAGGACAGGGTTGGAGAGGAGTTCACTGCAGGAAGATGGTAGGGGACCCAAGGTAAGCTGTACCTTTTCCAAAAGTCTGATTTTCGCCTCATGGAGCAACTTACACAGAATAAACATAACAGCCTGGTCCTAGAATCACCTGACAAAATGGCTCAGGAGGCAAGGCTCAGTCCTCCCAACTGCCTTCCCCCTCCCCCAACATAGTGCCTTCTGAGAACCATAGACAGTTTTAGCTCAGAAGGGAGGAGGCATTATTTAATCTGAGCCCCTCATCTCAATGTTGAGAAAGTAAAGCTCAAAGATGCCAAATACTCTATCTAAGGCCATCACTACTAAGTAAATGGCAAAGCCAGGATAGCAAACCCAGATCTCTCTGATCCAAAGCTCACGCCCAGCAGATACTTGTCTCTATCCAAGAGTGTGGTGAACACTAAGGAGAGGTCCCTACCTCAATACCTTTATGCAAACACTTGTCCTGTCCATGTTCTCTCAGAGTCCTTTCCACATACAAAAGCCTACTCATCCCTGAAGACTTTCTAATGTTGAACATCCAGTAGGATATCAGTCTGCTTAGACTGTAAGTATCTTAAGTGCAAAGACTTTATCTAAGTCACCTCTGAATCCCCTATAAAGCCAACCACCAACTATGTGAATGGTGTCAGTAAGCATTTGTTGGACTGAATTAACCATCTAGTCCATCTAACTCAATCTTACTTCTCATTGGTTACCTTGTGGCAGACTGCTGCTTATTCCTTAAATCCACTCTCCTTTTCTTCCCCAGTATTAGCTAGACAATGTTTCTCAGAAACTACATTCTAAGCCTCCTCGGTAGTTAGGTGTGGTCAGACATGTAAATTAACTTCAGGCCAAGAGAATGGGTCTTCTGAGTCTTGACCTTAAAACATCAAATGTTTCTTTTTCCTTTCTGAAGGCTGAAACAAGGCTGTGGCAGTGACCCAACTTTAGCAATTCAATAGGGATAATACCTGTAAAATGTCAAAGCAAGATAGAAAGAACCTGAATCACTGAGTGACTGTATGGAATATAGACACTTACCTGCTCTGAACCACCTTCTCTCTGAATATTAGAGAGAGATATACTTTTGTCATGTTAGAGTCTCTATATGTTGAGGTCTTTTAGCCCATGTCCTAATACATATTCTTCTAAATTGCTTTCTAATATTTGCATGCTACTCAACAATATGATGCTATAATGGGAAAGCTACCTGTTTTATTGTTACCCACAGTCCCACCACTCACGAGGAAGCCATGCCTCTTGCTAAAGGTGCCATATTCTTTTTTCCTGTTTCCATCCTTTCTGAGTGCTAAGGACTTTATAAGTGTATTTCATTTAATCTTCACCATAATCCTATAAGGTAGCTGCCATCATTTACCCCATTTCACAAATGAGAGACAGGAGACAGTGCTAGGGTGGGTCACATTCTCAAAGCTAGTAGGTAGCAGAGAGGATTTGAAATAAAAGTTTATCTGATGCTAGAGCCATGCACTTGAGCACTGCCAGAGTCACTGCCAGGCCTCCTGGAAGGGCTTCCCTGGCGGCCCTGTTAGAATCTGTGCTCTAGTCCCACTGTATTTCCTATGAAAATATAACAACTGACAGAGTAGAAGAAACTGTTAAAAGGAAAATCATCTCACTGCTCCTTAATTTCTGATTGAAAGTTAGGATGTTCAGTCATCATCTTAGAGTTCTGGGAGCACCTCACATGCCCAGAATTTCGTTGCTGTATTTGTTTGATTCATTAACTTCTGGAGAAGCTTGTGGTGGGTCAGGGAAATCAGGAGTGAGCTGCTCAACTTATGAGAAACAACAGAAAGGGAACAGTTATAAGACAACAACATGCTTTTGAGAAATAGAAGCCAGGAACCCATGTGTGGGAGGATGTGTGACTTTTTGTTATTTTGTTTATTTGTATCACAAGTTAGTGCACTGTTTGCCTGTTCAGATCTGCCTGTCTACCCAGTCTGGCTGCAGGGGTAATGGGTTTGGGATCATCTAAGACTAAGTCTTCAACCCCTTAATGTGACATTTATCGAGCACTTATTATGAGCAGAATACTCTGCTTTTGCTTTAGTCTGAGTATAAAGAAGACATGTGTGAACAATTAAAATACCTGGAAAATAAAATAGCAATGAAAGAGAAAAGATTAAGTATTGTCACAGACAAACAAAGTGGTACAGTTGGTCTTAGGAGGCGAGATGAGGGAAGACTGCTTGCATCCAGGAGTTTCCTGAGCTGCCCTGGAGATGGGGTGGGCTTGAGCTGATGAATAATGATATTTGATGTGGCAGAAAGTGCCTGAGCAATGAAGTCATGGAGATGGGAGAGGATCAAGCAAGTTCAGAGGGGACATAGTGAGGAAGGGGAGCTGACTACAGCAGAGGACCCACGTCAGGGGATAGTAGGGCTGGGAAGGCTGGGTAAATCTAGGCTGAGAATTTCTAATTGCACTAAGATTTCTCCATCACCCTGCTGGTTGCATTCATGAGCGATATCCCAAGCTTTGAGCTGACTCTGCAGGCCCCTCCTACAACTTTTGACTATTTAGTCAGCTATGTTGGCTTCCAGTCAGATAGGGGTTATTTTAGTTCATTCTTGACTTCTGATAGCCTCAGGGCTTCCAGAGAAATTATCAGTCTGCCCTTCCACTTCTCTATCATGAAGAGAAACTCTGATGTAATCAGTAATGCAAAGGGCATAGTCTAGTCATTTCCAAGTTCATTCTTCCAGGGCCCATATTTCTTTGGGGAGATCCTCATAAAACTGTCCTAAAAAACCACATTTCATCTAAAGTATTGGCCTACACTTAACCGGGCATTCCTTGTATATTTAAGCTCCCGTTGCCCACATCAACTTTGATAATGTAGCCTTATATTTGCTTTTCCTTTTTTCCTCCTAAACATTTAATTTCTACTCCTTGGAATCACTAGCTGAATTCTTGCATGCCAACAAGTCCTTTTCATAGCCTCTGTTTTGTCTAACTAAGACAAAGAAAAATATAATGACAGCATAGTGAATGTTCTATAAAGTCAAATTATTCAATACTAGGGACTGTTCTTCATTCTGAGATGATAGTCTTTGTATGGTAGAATAATGGCTCCCATCAAAGATGTCCATGTTCTAATTCCTGAGGCCTGTGACTATGCTACCCTATAGCGCAAAAGGACTTTGCAGATGTGATTATATTAAGTAACTTGAAATGGGTAAAATTCCTGAATTATTGAGTTGAGTAGGGGACCAGCATCTACTGTAGTTACAAAGGTCCCTACAAGGTAGAAAAGGGAGGCAAGAAGTCGAAGAAAGAGATGTGATGACAGAAGCAGAGGTCTGAGTGATGCATTTGCTGGCTTTGAAAGTGGAGGAGGAGCCCATGGGCCAAGAAGTACCTGTGGCCACGAGAAGCTGGAAAAACCAAGAAAATGAATTCTCCCTTAGAGTTTCTGCTATCCTCTTGACACCTTTGATTTGAGCTTGGTGAAGTCCTTTTCATACTTCTGACTCCCAGAAGTGTGAATTAATAGATTTGTGCTATCCTAAGCCCACAAACTTTGTAATTTTTTTACAGGAGCAATAGGAAACTTATATACTTGGTGATAAAATGAAATGATTGTGATACTAGAAGTTAGTTGCTCTTGTTGGGCAAAGAAATGTTCCAACCTGGTACATAAAAAATGGTCAGACTTCCAAAATCTGAAACTTTGCTAGTGTAGGAAGTTCAAAAGTACAGGGTTCAACATAGCCAGTGAAAGCTCTGCAGGATTATGTAAGAAGTTAGTTTTTCCTGTGGGACTGCCAAACCATGCAACTGGCCATGCCAGCAAAGTGATATTCACTCTGCTGACTTAGGACACTGTGCCTGAGTCAAGTGACGAGCTTTTGTGCTGGGTCATTTCTATTTCCTCTTCTGATCCATTATGTACAGTTCAACACTCTGCTCTGAGCTCTGAGAGGTTGATCTTTGTGGACCATATCAGTGGATGCTGTTGTTCTCTAACTTCCAGCTGGGTTCAGCCAATTGGGGAGGGGCACCAGCAGGAAATCAAAGGGTGGGAGGAGAGTGAGGTTAGTGTATTCATTCACCGGCTCCCCCCCTTTGAAGTTGCTGTGGGCAACAACACCCTCCCACTGGAGGCCACAGTTCCTGTCAAGAGGTGCTCTCCCCACAGCTCCCTTCTCCAGCTTTTAGTCACCTCCCCAATAGTGGTAATGGCTCCCCCATCGTAGAAGCCCCAGGGTTCGTCACTATCCTCAGTAGTTTCTCTAAATCCTGACCACAACTTCATAAACAGTCCATTACGTTCTCCCCAAATTACTCATTCTGAGTGTGCCATCTGTTTCTCACCTGAACCCTGACCAACAGTCAGGAAGGGCAGGCAGCTCTTACCTGGAGAGACAATGAAGGCTGATGTAAGCTCCTTCACATTAGCATTCCAGAACTCACAGGAGAAGTTTCTGCCGGGGAGTGGCTTTACGCGCAGAACGCTAGTCACCTGGTAGAGGCCATCAGGAGTCTCCATGTGGCTTGTGTTGGCAGAAACATTGATATTTGGCCAGGATACTTCTGCCAGGGGATAACCTTTAGCCTGGCAGGTGAGCTCTACCTCATCTGTCCTTGGGACCTGAACCACTCGAGTGTTTATTTTCTTATAGGAAGCTGGACAATAGAAGAAAAAAAATTAATGTCTTTCTTTTCTGATTCCTGTAGAGCTCTGTCCCCGATGCCATGTGAATAAAGTGATTATTAACAACATCACATAATAATGGTTTTAATTTTTAAAAAACATTTCTCAGATCGTCTCAGATGTTATGCTATTTTACACACATTGAATTATTCAATTTGCACAACAAAAGTGGCAATGTTGATATTCCTAATTTTTGTGGGAGGTAATTGAAGAATCGAGTGGAAGCTGGTAGAGCCGATGTTTGCACAGTGCAAGTTTGATTTCTGATCTCAACAATACTTTATTCCACCACCGTCTGTGCACTCCTACATTACTGCACAATATCTTACAACTGAAAACTAGAGAAAAAGGACGCATAAATACAATTACTAGCTAACCCCATATCTCACTTTAGAGTTTTTTCTTTATATCTTCAGGAGAAATTGTTCTTTCCACTTTCTCCTTGCTTCTGTTCTCTTTGAGATTAGGAGGAGGAAAAGACCTAGATTATGTGTATAAATAGTCAGAAATTGGGTGTATTTATTTATTTCTCTCCAACATACTCACACACAGTTCTGTGCAGTGTATGCTGAGTGAGTTAAACCAATATGGTGGCTTGCCCTCTAGAAAACAGATCTAATATAGAGGTGATGAGAGCAAGCACACAAAGACAAATTGTCCAATTATCTTAGATGGTAGCTAAAAATAAGTATGTATTAACATGTGCAGATACCAGGAAGTGCGGAAAATAACCTGTTGATTTTTGGAGAAGGGAAGAGGGAATGAGCACTAGCTTTTATTAAGCAGAAAATACTTCCTAAAGAAACAAAATTTCAATACAATCCTTGAAATAAAGATCGATAGGTAGATGGCACATGTGTGGTGAAACTTATTTTTCCTTAAATTGTTGGGAGGAGCATAAATAGGCACAAATTCTGAGAAGCAAATGTACATGAAAATAGTCATAACAGCTACATGGACAAAAATAGAACACGTATGACTTACTAAGTGTTTTCTAGGTATTGAGTGTCATGCCCTGTGCTTTTACGTTCTGCAGAGAGAATGTTCGTGCTCCTCTCCAGTTCCTGCCCATTAAGCACCTCCTCTGTGTGTCCCTAAATTATGAGTAGCTAATTTGACTAGTTACAGCCAAAGACACTCACTGTGTCATGCATGGGTCACTGGAGAGCAGGGTGACCACACCTTCAAATGCTGTTATAAACCTGTGGCCCTCTGTTGAAGTTTTTGTCTCCATATGACAAAGCATACACAGCTGGGCCTGCTGGCCTGCCTGCCTCAAAAAGCTCTGACGTCTTCCCAGCTCCCAGTATTCCAGCTCCAGCTGGTGAATGGTAGGTGGGGCAGATCTTATCCATGAGGCTGAATGGATGAGTGACCTCAAGGTCAGATCTGCAAACCTGGACTCCTAGGTTAAGATGAAGGAACAAGAAAGAAGAGGCCCCTGTTCTAAGTCGTGTTCTCCAGTGTAATTACCAGAGAAGCCCCAAAATTGGGAGCAAGGAAAGGGGAAAATCATGTGTTCATCCAGCTATGAATGTAAAAATTGGAGTTCATTTCCCATTTGGTATTGATTCTTGTGTATATATAGCTTACTCAATCTAGAACTTAGAGAGGAGCAGGGGTGACTTGGCTCTAAAACCTGACTCTCTCCCCTTAACATACATTATGTCCTTTAAACTACACAAGGACCCTAGAGAGGTAAAATTCATTCCCATTTTGTAAATAAGACAGCTGTACTGGGGTAGTTGGGGAGAGGGACTTGAACTCATCCTTTCTGAATTCTGCATTGGATTCTCAATTTAACTGCAAAAGTGTGGGGATGGAACAATATAGAAGGGTATGTTTTCCTGGGGGACTTAGGAGTACCCAGCGCTAGTACATGAGGAGAACCAGGCTCTGAACCAGCCTACTGAAGAACTTGAGCTGGCTAGACTCACCAGTCTTCTTGGAGCCAAATTTTGGTCTGTCTCTAGCAATCAAACAGTATCTCAGTCATGCATTCTGAGTACTCATTTTATCTTTTATTATTTATCTACACTTTCCCTGCTTGGTACAATAATCATTTTATTCTGTTATTGTAGATTATTTCTGAAGCTGTGGGTCTTAGAGGGAGATGAAGGAGAATAAATAGATTCATAGGAGTTGTGTTATGTGGGTGAAGCTCTGGTCTGCTCCCACAAGGTAGCTTGGGATAAGAAGTTGATCTTCGCAGCCAAGTTGAAAGGTGATTTCAGTGATAGGAGGGGTTAGGAATCAGGAACTGGGCTAAGGCTTGGACTTAGAGATATATAAATGAGAAAGCTGATGGGAGAGGTGTTCAACTAAAAAAATCAGCAAGTTTTGGGGTAGGGACGGGAGACCACATCTATATTTACAACCTAAAGCTACCTCCACAGCCTGTTTTCTATTTGGGAAGTGGTAAAATGGAATCATTATCAGCAATGCACAATGGGGAAGCTAGATTGAGGGCAATTATTCTTAGGAAAAGATGAGTAAATTTTAGAATTTCAGAGGTGGGAGTGGTTTGGAAATTCAACTAGCCCAACTTCCTGCTTAATGAAAAATATCTTCTTTAGCAACTTTGCTAGATACTTTGATGATTGTTTCACATGCGGTTGGAAATAATGTATATTCTGTAGTTGTTGGGTATAAGTTTTATGTATGTTGATTACGTCAAGACAGCTGTGTTGTTCAACTCTTGTATTTTCTTTTTCATTTGTTCAATCAATTATAAAAGAGATGAGTTCAAGTCTCCAAATATGATTGTGACTTTGTTTATTTTGCCTATTAAGCCTGTCAACTTTTGTTTTATATATTTTGAAGCTGTGTTGTTAGATGTACATACATTTAGGATTGTTATGGCTTCCTGTTGAATTGTCTTTTTTAGCATTATGAAATATACCTTTTTATCTTTAATAATATTTCTTTTCTAATATTAGTAACTTTCTAGATAACTAACTTTTCATTAGTACCTCTATGAATGGAAGCTCCTAGGTCCAGAAGTAGTCTTTGCCACAATTAGACAATAAAAAATTTAACTTCCTTTGGAAAAGTCATCCTCATGCCAAGCCAAGTCTTTGCCTCATGGTAGCTTCAGCCATGGGTTTTTGTCTGGTTTAGTAAAACAACATGTGATAGATATAGTTGTTGAGAACATTGGCTTCATAGTCTGGAAAGTGTGGGCTGGTTACATGACCTTCAGGGTTTTCATTTATAATATAGGTACAATACTACTTATCCTTTAACAGGAGTGTTAGAAAGACTAAATGAGTTATGTGCCTAAAACATAGTAAATACTCAATTAATGTTAGTAATTATTATTACCTCATCCATATGAGAAGACCACCCTTCAGGTATTTGAGGATAATTGGTGAGACTCCATATAGTCTTTTCACCTTTAGATGAAACATGTGACTTTCTTTACTTTTTTGAAATAATATCTTTATTTTTCATTGAGATATAATGGACCCATTATATTATATTAGTTTCAGGTGTACAACAAAATAATTTGATATTTGTATATATTGTGAAATGATCACCATAAGAAGTCTAGTTAATATCCATCACCACACAGGTACAAATTTTTTTCTTGTGATGAGATTATGATGATTTACCCTCTTAGCAAATTTCAGGTATCCAATACACTATTAACTATGGTCATCATGCTTTACATCACATCCCAATAACTTATTTTATAATTGGCAGTTTGTATTTTTTGACACCCCCTTTACCCACTTCTTGCCTCAAGCAACCATCAATTTGTTCTCTGTATATATGAGGTAGAGGATGGTGGTTGGTTGGTTGGTTGGCTGGTTAGCTGGTTTTGAGAGTCCACATATAAATGAGATATTGTGGTTTTTGTCTTTCTATATCTGATTTGATAGTTAACTCAGACATGAAGGGGGTAGTCATAAAACTGTTGCTTTTGTATTATCAGGGAAAATCACCAAACGGAAGAAAAGCTAATAAGAAATATATGATTGTTTAGGCAGCTTTGACTGAGATGAAGTAAAACAAACCTGTAAGAAGTATGGGATATTCTCAAAATTTCTGCACATGGCCTCTCCTTTGGGAAGATGTCATATTTAAAGGTTTACTTGCAATGCTTTGAAGTAACTAGCTGTATAGTCATTAAACAGAGGGCCCATAGACACATGAAAAACATGTGTTAACATCACTAGCCATTAGAAAGATGCAAATTAAAACCACAAGATATCACTTCACACCAGTCAGAATAGCTATCATTAATAAATCAACAAACAAGTGTTGGTGAGGTTGTGGAGAAAAGGGAACCCTAGTGCACTGTTGGTGGGAATGCAGATGGCTGGAATTTCCTCAAAAAACTAAATATGGGACTGCCTTTTGATCCAGCTATCCCACTGCTGAAACTATGTCCTAAGAATCCTGAATCATCAATTCAAAAGAACCTATGTACCCCAGTGTTCATAGCAGCACAATCGACAATAGCCAAGTGCCGGAAACAGCCTAAGTACCCATCAGAAAATGAGTGGATCCAAAAACTGTGGTACATTTACACAATGGAATACTATGCAGAAGAAAGAAAAAAGGAACTCCTACCCTTCACGACAGCATGGATTGAACTGGAGAGTATTTTGCTAAGTAAAATAAGCCAGGTGGTGAAAGACAAATATATGACCTCACCTATAAGTGGAACCTAATCAAAAAACAAATGAGAAAATTATAGGCAAGAGACAAAATTACTGTGAACTCTTTCCCATTGTAGATTATTAGCCAGAACTATTTTTAATTATATTTTATTGACTATGCTATTACAGTTGTCCCAATTTTTCCCCATTTGCGCCCTTCCAACCAGAACTCCCTACTCCCTCAGGCAATCCCCACACCACTGTTCATGTCCATGGGTCATGGGTACAAGTTCTTTGGCTACTCCATTTCCTGTACTGTATTTTACATCTCCATTCTGTAACTACTTATTTGTACACTTCTTAAT